TGATTTTTGACTGCAGATGTGTGATTTTGTAGACTGTGATTTTGACTGAAGATGTGTGATTTTGACTGCAAATGTGATTTTGACTGTAGATGTGTTTTTGACTGCAGATGTGTGATTTTGTAGACTGTGATTTTGACTGTAGATGTGTGATTTTGCCTGCAAATGTGATTTTGACTGTAGATGTGATTTTGACTGCAGATGTGTAATTTTGACTGTAGATGTGTGATTTTGCCTGCAGATGTGTGATTTTGTAGACTGTGATTTTGACTGAAGATGTGTGATTTTTGACTGCAGATGTGTAATCTTGCCTGCAGATGTGATTTTGACTGCAAATGTGTGATTTTGCCTGCAGATGGGATTTTGACTGCAGATGTGTGATTTGACTGTAGATGTGATTTTGACTGCAGATGTGTGATTTTGTAGACTGTGATTTTGACTGAAGATGTGTCAGCATCTTGACTGCAGATGTGTGATGTGTGATTTTGTAGACTGATTTTGACTGAAGATGTGTGATTTTTGAACGCGGATGTGTGATTTTGACTGCAGGTGTGTGATTTTGACTGCAGATGTGTAATTTTTTACTGCAGATGTGTAATTTTTTTTGACTGCAGATGTGTGATTGTTGTGTGATTTCTGACTGTAGGTGTGTGATTTTGACTGCAGATTTGTGATTTTTGACTGCAGATGTGTTTTTTTTAGTAGATGTGATTGTTGTGTGATTTCTGACTGTAGATGTTGATTTTGACTGCAGATGTGTGATTTTAATTGCAGACGTGATTTTTGACTGCACATGTGTGATTTTGACTTCATTGTGATTTTGACTGTAGATTTGTGATTTTGACTGCAGACGTGTGATTTCTTTTACTGCAGATGTGTGATTTTAACTGCAGATGTGTGATTTTGACTAGAGATGTGTGATTTTGACTGCAGACGTATGATTTTTCACTGCAGATGTGTGATTTTGACTGCAGATGTGTTATTTTGACTGCAGATGTGTGATTTTTGACTGCAGATGTGATTGTTGTGTGATTTCTGACTGTAGATGTGATTTTGACTGCAGATTTGTGATTTTGTAGACTGTGATTTTGACTGAAGATGTGTGATTTTGACTGCAGGTGTGTGATTTTGACTGCAGACGTTTGATTTTTGACTAGATGTGTGATTTTTGACTGTCGATGTGTGATTTTGACTGCAGATGTGTGATTTTGATTGCAGATGTGTGATTTTTGACTAGATGTGATTGTTGTGGGATTTCTGACTGTAGATGTGATTTTGACTGCAGACGTTTGATTTTTGACTAGATGTGTGATTTCTGACTGTAGATGTGTGATTTCTGACTGTAGATGTGTGATTTTGACTGAAGATGAGTGATTTTGACTGCAGATGTGTGATTTTTGACTAGATGTGTGATTGTTGTGTGATTTCTGACTGCAGAAGTGTGATTTTTGACTAGATGTGTGATTTCTGACTTTAGATGTGTGATTTCTGACTGTAGATGTGTGATTTTGACTGCAGCCGTATGATTTTTGACTGCAGATGTGTGATTTTGACTGCAGATGTGTGATTTTGACTGCAGAAGTGGTTTTTGACTGCAGATGTGTGATTTCTGACTAGATGTGTGATTTTAACTGCAGATGTGTGATTTTGACTGTAGATGTGTGATATTTGACTAGATGTGTGATTTTTGACTAGACGTGTGATTTTAACTTTAGACGTGTGATTTTCGACTGCAGATGTGTGAATTTTGAATAGATGCGTGATTTTGACTGTAGATGTGTGAGTTTGACTGTAGATGTGACTAGATGCAGTCGAGCAGCAGAAGAGGACAGCAGTTTGTAAGTGTTTTGTCTTGTTTTCTCATTAGATTTCAGCGCGGTTGTCATTGCTAGGAAACATTGTTTCACTTACTGTGTTTTACCGTGGTAAATACGTGCTCAAGTCGCGTTTGTTCTCGTGCGTATCGCTGGACTTTCCGGTTTCGGTTTGCTAAATAGTAAGGCGTGGCCAAAGTCAGTAAAAGTACTTATTTACCCGTTTGGAAGCACTTGTTAGAAAAAGCAGTCGAGCAGCAGAAGAGGACAGCAGTTTGTAAGTGTTTTGTCTTGTTTTCTCATTAGATTTCAGCGCGGTTGTCATTGCTAGGAAACATTGTTTCACTTACTGTGTTTTACCGTGGTAAATACGTGCTCAAGTCGCGTTTGTTCTCGTGCGTATCGCGGGACTTTCCAGTTTCGGTTTGCTAAATAATAAGGCGTGGCCAAAGCCAGTACAAGTACTTATTTACCTGTTTGGAAGCACTTGTTAGAAGAAGCAGCCGAGCAGCAGAAGAGGACAGCAGTTTGTAAGTGTTTTGTCTTGTTTTCTCATTAGATTTCAGCGCAGTTGTCATTGCTAGGAAACGTTGTTTCAATTACTGTGTTTTACCGTGGTAAATACGTGCTCAAGTCGCGTTTGTTCACGTGCGTATCGCGGGACTTTCCAGTTTCGGTTTGCTAAAAAGTAAGGCGTGGCCAGCTGACTTCAATAACGAGTACTCGGGCAAGTATAAAATTGGTTAGTTCACTGCGGCAGCAGTCGCATTATCCCTCGTGTGAAGCCTCAAGGCAGGCCAATCCTAATAATCTACGGCCTGTCCCTCTGTCCTCTACTACTTTACTCTCTATTCCAACTGGTCTCTGGAACTGCCAGACTGCTGTTAACAAAGCAGAATTTATTTCTTCTGTTGCTACTCATTCCGGTCTCAACCTCATGGCCCTAACTGAGACTTGGATCAAACCTGAGAACACTGCCACTCCTGCAGCCCTCTCCACTAATTTCACTTTTTCCCACACCCCTCGCACGATTGGGAGGGGTGGAGGTACTGGTCTCCTTATCTCAAATGAATGGAAATTTGATCTTCTACCATCTCTTACAGGCAACAGTTCATTTGAATCACATGCAATTACTATTACCCACTGTAACAACGTTTGTAGGTCGGGCTGCCGCACACAAAACACAAAATAAAGTCCAGGCATTGTCCTCTCTCCCCCTCCTCCTTCATCAACTCTTACAGCTGATGACTTTGCAATTTTCTTCACAAATAAAACAAGAACCATCAGTGGCCAATTCTCCTCACCACAAACTGATGACAACTTCATATCACGTCATTCACTCCTCCTTCTCTCCACTCTCGGAGACGGACGTTTTCAAACTTATCCTTTCCAATCATCCTACTACTTGTCCACTTGATCCTATCTCCACTCACCTCCTTCAGGCCATTTCTTTTTCAGTCATTCCTTCG